CTCAAAAAGGGGATAGGGATTATGTATCTTGTACTATTATTTGGGTTGAAAGGCTTTTTCTAAATAATTTCCTTCTGCTGGTTCTTTTCCCCCTTTCAGCTTTGTGGGTAAGTTGAATTTCGTAAGTAGGAAGCTGATTGAACTGCGGCCGTGTTTGTGTACTCGGAATCATTAGAGGTCTCGGTTCTTATAGTTCCTGTTTTGGTCAAGTGTATATCGGGCAACGTATGTTGTGAAAATATTTAGTGGGAGCTTCCATTCTTGATGCTGATTTAAAAGACTGGACCTTTTGCTTGGAGTTATGGAGAATTAGAGCTCTCATGGATATGTTAACACCACGATCTTTTTATTTTGGATAAAGTTGTTTTGCTTGTTTCTAAAAATCCCTTTTGTTTGCTAAGATGTCCGAAATCTTTTTGTTTAAGCTAAGATTTTTAAAATTGATTGAATATCTTTTGGTCCTATACCTTCTTTTTTTAAAAAAATGTTTTTGTCCCATTCATGCACATGTGATTTCAATGCTGTAATTATATTAACAGTTTATGAAGCAGAATGATCATGTATCTAACAGGGATTTTAAACCAAATTGACTTCTAGTTGATCTTGCAGTGGAATTAGTTCAAGAAAATTCAAGTTGTCCGTCAAAGTTATTTTGTGCCAGGACATGGTTACCACAGTAATGACCCGTGTTATCTACATTTTCACTGTAATTCTCAATAGCACGCTTTTCCAACAAGCGAATCCAATGGAACTCATTTTCTGCGTGGTCTTTGTTCTCATTTCTTTAAGAAATCAGTAAAAATGCCATGGAGAAAGAAAGGGTGATAACCTGACATTTCTTTTCTAGACTTGTTTGATTGTGGTTATCTTTTGCATTAGAATTAGCTAGATTTCTCTTCAGCCTAGATGCTAAGTGCCAGGCATATTGCTTCTTATTCTTATTGGGACAAAGGGACTGAATTTCCAAATAGAACAGATATTAGTGATCTTTCTACATGGTTTGCTGTGAAATGGAGCTTCGCATGTTGGAGCATTAGGGCTTGGATGTGTAGTGGAAAGAGTTAAGAATTTATTTAGGAAAGGAAACCTAAGTTCCTAAAAGAAATGCTTTTGTTTCTGGGAAGCAGGGAGCTTTTAGACGGTTATTTGGTCAGAAGTGGCCAGGTACAAAGAAATAATTTAAGACTGGGACTATAGTGTGTAGGACAGTTTTTTTGGGTTCAGGTTTGCAAAAACTAGGGATTTTTAGGCCTTGGATGTGTAGGTTGAATCATAATTAGATAACATTATACCAATTTCTTATGTGATTTTTGTCCTGGGTGTTCGGAATCCTTTTCGAAAGCAGAAACCCAAAACTGGAATATCTACTCTTGGGATGTTTTTATCATTTTTGTGACATTTAGGGTCTTCCTTGGAGATTCTAAGGGTCTTGTGAATTTGGTTCTTATTATTAATGCTCAAGTATTTTTTGAACTCTAATTTATTTGTTTTTAAGGTGTCTTTGATGTTCTTCCAGGTTATGCTGTTGCTGAAGGAAGACCTGTAAGAGGGCGACGCCTTCCTTGTTGTGGCATTGGCATTGGCTGGTTCTTGTGAGTTATACCAATGCTTTTGCTACCTTAAAATATGATTTAAATAGAACATTCATGTAAATGTCTCATGTATTTATGCCCATGTACTTGTATGTTTAGTTTCCATCATGATTATGTGGATTAAATAAGCTAATTTTAGTTGGCTTATATTTAAATTGGTTTTAGTTTGGGAGGTGATATAAAAATTAGGAACACATGGAAGCTGTTTTCATATTATAACATTCATTAAATGTTTCAGCTAGGCTTTCATATTTCATTTATTTTATCTTTAGCTATCAATAACTGAGAAAAAGAAAGAATAATGGAAGAAATTAAGTAAAAGTTATCAAATATGTTAT